CGAGGCACCCAGACACACGCCGTGGGCCGCACGGCCGCAGAGTCATGTGAGCGAGGCACCCAGACACACGCCGTGGGCCGCACGGCCGCAGAGTCATGTGAGCGAGGCACCCAGACACACGCCGTGGGCCGCACGGCCGCAGAGAGTCACGTGAGCGAGGCACCCAGACACACGCCGTGGGCCGCACGGCCGCAGAGAGTCACGTGAGCGAGGCCGGGGCTATTCAAGTCACTCTCTTTTTGTAAAATGTTTACTGTGCGCTTTATAAAATGCGTCCAGCCCATCAGGACGAGCCACGGCGCAGCAGTAAGAGGAAAAATAAATGTGACATGAAAAAAAAAATACAGACAAACACACGGGCGCGCTCACTCACACACAGAGCCGACGAGGGCTGTGCTTATCTCCCGGCCATTAAGTCAGTTTGCGCATGGTAATCTCCTCCCTGTATAAATAGCTCTTGGTGGAGTGAGGAGCTGCTGCAGAGAGCTATAACCCTTCTGTCCCTGAAGCTGCAGCCAGGATAAGCTGAGTGTCGGATTGGCACGCGGGGCTGCCTGCGGTCTGCCGCTGTGCTGGCCGCTAGTACAGATGGAGGGCAGAGCCGGGCAATGCCAGCCTGTCAGTCGGATTAAAACGACTCATTTATTCACTGAAGGATCTTGCAAAGCGACTGGACCAGAGACTAGGGTGGGGGAGGGGCGGTAGGAAGAGGGCAGAGTTGGAGGGAGTGTGGGTTCTTAACTACCCCTGCCACACCCGCTCAATCCCCCCCATCCCCCTCCTTTCCCTGTCCCTGTCCCTTTTATCGCATTTCCAGGGCTGCCAGGAGCCATTACAGAGCCGAGCAGAAGACTGCCGACGGGGAGGCGCCCCCCAGAGGCCGGGCGACAGATTGCAGTGCGGAAAAAAAAAAAAAACAAAAAGAAAAATAAAACGGCAGCGAAGGAAGCGAGGATGAAAGGCGATTGGCTCTGACGGCCAGGAAGCCGGCACTGAGGGCCAGAGCAGGAAGAAGACAGAGGGGAGGGATGACAAGGACTAGCTGTGCGACCTTTTGCACCAGGTGAATTACGTAAAGAGGCCATAGCTCTGGTTTTTAATCGCACCCCTGCCAACACCAGCTTTTACACAGATGTCAACCCGCTGGAGAGTCTTCAGCTTGACCCCCCCGCTCCCTCCCATGGGCCTCGCTGTCCTGCAGCATCAGGATACAGGCCACGGAAAAGCCTTGCACACCAGCCCTCCCCCCCCACCCCATCCGAAAGGGTGCTGGAGGAGAACGTTGCACTAAAACCACCGGTGCTTACGACCCAGACCGCAGTGTAGGATCCACGGCAGGTCGAACATGGAGGCAGGAACAGCCATCGCTCAACTCGCATGTCTTTATATCGACTTCTGTAAAATAAGAGAGACTCCAGGGCTAACAGGAAACTCAGAGATACGATATTTTATCACCATCATATACATTTTTCAAGCGTATTTACATAGCTGCAAGGTCTGATCTTCAGCCCAGTCCCAAAACACTACTGTTCACAGTTTCAGATCCAGCTTTGATGGAACTAATGGCTCCATCTTCAATCTGAGTTACACACAGCGATCTGCCAACTAATAAATTCACGCCGGGTTTGGTATCTGCACCGGCAACTTCGGGGAGTCTTCTAATGTGGGGGCAAGCCCAGGCTTTCGTGGGGGAAGGTTTGGATTTCAATCGAATTCCATCGTCGGGTGGTGCATGGTTCAGGGGAAACTGGCAATCTGGTCGAAGACCCACCGTTTAGGAATCGGTGAGGGCAGAGAGACACACGAGAGCTATGATTTAAACTGTGGCACTATGGCAGGAGAAACTGCCTTTATGAGACACAAACAGTTACTTATCCTGAAAAAAANCAGAGAGACACACGAGAGCTATGATTTAAACTGTGGCACTATGGCAGGAGAAACTGCCTTTATGAGACACAAACAGTTACTTATCCTGAAAAAAAGCAAAAAAAAAAAAAAAAAAAAACTCCCTGGGATAATAAATTCCTACAGGGATAAGTATTTCCTACAGTAAATACTGTAGGAATCACTGTATACCCAACAGCCCAGGCAGCGGCTGCGGAGAGGGAAGACGGGGCCGCCTCCATGCACGCATGCCCGCGGCGCCCCCTGCCTTCCACAGAGCACCCGCGAGGGTTTGACACGAACAAGAACGACAGCAAAGTCGGCAGAAAAGATTTATGACCGGCGGCCTGTTCAACTTCTCCTGGGTGCTGAAAGGTCAGAGGAAAAGGGGAGAGTGATTTTTTTTTTTAAAGTAGGGTTAGCGCCAAGCGAACTCTATGCCAGCAAACTGCTCCCTCCCCAGCCCTGCCCCCCCTCACCCTCCCAGCCCTGCTCCTCCACGGCTGCCAAGCGGCGCAGCTCAAAAGGCTTTTTATTGGGCCTAATTACTCCCGATAGCTGTAATTTACAGGTTGGCGGTGGGGGGAAGAGGGAGGGGGAGGACGAAAAACCCGGCAAGACGCACGCTTCCGCGGGTCAGCATCTGTCGCCATGGCGGCGCGGCCACGGCGACGGCCAGTCGGCGAGCGGGAGAGCGGTAAACAAGGCAGCGCGCGTGACGGATTAGCGGCGCGAGCTAAAGGACCTTCCAGTGACACATCATTTCTCTCGCTCCGCAAGTTTGTTTTGCGGCAGCTGTCACCGGTGAAACGGGAGGGGAGTGGAGAGGCGTGGAGGGGAGGGGCTAGGAGTGACCTGCTTAACAGTCTGGACACACTTTTTAAACATTTTTAACTCAGGGGAAGAACAACAGGCCGCTGTTCTGAATTCCGGCTTCACTTCTTAGCATCTGAATACCATCCTGCACAATCCGGGTTTCTGCACTAAATCCTATCCGGCACAGTCCCGCTTTTTTACACTAAATCCCATCCTGCGCAATCTGGATTTCTGTATTAAGTTCCATTCTGCACATTCCCGCTTTTTAAATACAAAATCCCACCCTGCACATTCCTGCTTTTCAGCACTAAATCTCACACTGCAACATTCCTGTTTTTTCACTACTAAATCCCACCCTGCACATTACCATTTTTTCACTACTAAATCCCACCCTGCACATTACCATTTTTTCACTACTAAATCCCACCCTGCACATTACCATTTTTTCACTACTAAATCCCACCCTGCACATTCCCACTTTTTAAATACTAAATCCCACCCTGCACATTCCCACTTTTTAGCACTAAATCCAATGCTGCACAGTCCTGCTTTTTGACACTAAAGCCCACCCTGCCCATTCCCGGTTCGGTTCTCCAGCCCCACATCTTGCCTTGCCCGTCCCTCACCAAGTCCGGGTCCTCCCTGCATCCTCCTCACAGCCGCTACGTGCCGGGGCTGGTTGGAGTTATCCACCTGCCCAGGAGCATCGGCGCATGCGGGACGGAGTGGGAGTTTTGTCCAAAGGCGAGGTTCTCTGGGTGGGGAGCCGTAAATCCCCCACCCCCCACCCCCCACCCCCCCCATGCCACCCCACAGGTTGGGTGAGCAGCCAGCAGGGCCCAGTGCCAGGGTGCGGCACCATTCTGCCCCCACGCGCCCCGCCGACTGCGGCAGGACCACGCTGCTCCTCACACGGAGTCATCATCTGATGGACTCTGGCAGCCAGCGTTTCCTTGACCTACAGCAAAAGGACGTCCTCTCGGTTGTGGTTTTGTTACAGTTCCCACTCCCCCTGCTCTCGAAACAGACTCACCGTGCAAAGGAGGATGCCAGACGTGCTCCCGGAGAAATCCTGAAACACCTCCGTCCGCTCCTGCCCAGGCAGACACACACAAGGGTTTTTTTTTTTTTTTAAACAGAAGGTTCACTTGTTGACATGGAGATGCTAAGCTCCCCTTACAACACCCAACATTATTCATACACGACTCTTTGTAAGGTGTCCAAGGAAGGCAAAGACACCTCTAAGCGATGCCAGAGATGACACAACAGCCGGTCAGTGGGAAAGGGGCACTCTGACACAAACACACACCCTGCTCTCAAATAACACTGTGACCATTCTACACAGTTAATATGGTCAAATTCCATCCATCCACCCCTCCATCCTCTAATCAAATATTTGGGTCAGAGATAGCAAATGTTACATAAGTGCAATACAGAGAAAAATAAATTTGTATGTGCACAGGCTAGATGCCCATAAAGGCATTTAATCCCTCAGAGAATCAGAAGCTATTGTTGCCGTATTGTTAGGGAAAGAAGAGCAGCAAACCTCAGGTAATGACAGTCTACCTCTGACATTTTCAGAAAGCTGATGTCTGATTTTGTTCTTCTTTAAAAAAAATGGGCCAACATGCTGTAGTGGGTTTAAATAACAGAGTTTGAGGAATCGAGTCCAGGAATTAAAATCTTTTTTGTACCCTTGAGCAAAGAGCTTAACTTTGAACTGTCAAGCTGTATAAATGCCTGGAGTGGAATGCAGTGCTTTCTGGGTACTGCATCAGGTGGCTTTTTCCGTAGGTACGTCATCCGAGTCAGGGACACCGAGCTGCAGTCGTCAGGGGTCAGTCAGTGGACACCCGGTTAACCCCGGAAAGGGTAACTTATTAAACAATTACTTGAACAGAGTAATTACCTACAGAAGGTCCAGGAAGAACTGCAGCCATTGAGAGTGCAATTGTATCTCACACTAAAGTCAAAGTGTAGAAGAGTGCTGTGTTCAGACAGTGGGGCACGACAGCTTATAATACAACAAGCAGCTTCAGGATGAGCATCCTATCCTGGGTCGGGTCCCTCTCGACCCTGAGCAGGAGGAGATGGATGGATGGATTCAGATTATTTCAGAAATGGAGAACAGACGAGAGGTAGACTCTGAAATCTGTGGACTGGGGAGTCAGATGCAGGCGGACAGGAGGCGGCGTTCCCGGAGACCGCTGCCGATCTCCTGCTCCTTTCCGGCGGACCTCCTCACCGGGGCAGACGTCCCCAAGCCGGCTGCCGCGGCCCCATTACCAAACACATCCATAATGCGAGTCCCACTTTGGACGTGCACTCTTTAATGTCTAATGGGGGTGTGTGGGGGGGGGGACAGGCAGCACAGTGTGCCAGCCCCCAGGGTCCCTGCTCCCAGAAGTGCCATATGGACGTGGCCGGTCCAGGTCCATTAGTGCTCCCGAGGCTGGGGTGATGGCGAGGCCTGGACGCGAGCCGCCTGTCCCCCCCCCCCCCCAGAGCACCGCCGCCAGGCACAGCCTGCTCACCGGCAGCTGTGAGCCGAGATGAGCGGGGGCCCCGGCGGGGTCCAGCCAGCGGCGCCGGGGGCTCATGTGGGATCACCAGGGGGCTCAGCGGAGCTAAAGCCGGCCAAGCTGCCCGCGGCACACGCACACACACACGCGTGCACACATACACACACGCGTGTACACATACACACACGAGCACATAAATACACACACGCGTGCGCATATATGCACACACACGCACAGCTGTGTGCTCACCTCCTGGGCCATGCCACCGTGGAGCTGCAGGAAGCGCAGGGGGCGCGCCTCCTCCTCCTCCTCCTCCTCCGGGGAGGCTGAGGGCTCCTCCCGCTCAGCAAGCACGGTGGTGAAGAGGCGCAGCAGGAACCCCACGGCTTCGCAGCTCGATAGGAACACGACCATCTTGTGGGCACCTTCGAACTGCGGTGATGCAGGAAAGGAGCGGGGGGGGGGGGATCAGAACATCAGCCACGTCCTGTCGGCTTCTGCGCTCAGGGATTACACAAAATCGCATCCCTATCACATGAAACATTACTATTTTCTTAACTGCCTAAACCAAATCTGAAAGCACAAACGCCCCACCCCTCATGCCCCCCCCTTGGCCCTACCCTGCACTTGGCCAGGATGAAGGCTGCCAGGCAGACCAGGCGCAGTTTGCTGGGCACCAGGACCACGTGCTGCTGGAGCTTCTCGGGGACGGCGAAGCTGTCGGGCAGCGTCACGGACGCCTCAGCCCCCCTCTGCTCCGGGGCCTCGCAGGCGTGGATGCTCACCGGGTCCTTCAAACTGATCCCCACAAGCCTAGTAACACCTGCCCCCCCCAACACAGGCCCATGACAACACAGAAAAGGATGAGAACATAAGCCCCCAACCCCCAAACGATAACAAGACTGAGGCGGGTAAGTGTTGAGTGTTTCTCCTCAGAGCGCACGGCCAAGGGCTCTTGAGAGCCAGGTGTCCGGTCGATGGGAACCTGCCATCTCCCGGCTGAGGGAACATCTCCCGGCTGAGGGAACATCTCCCGGCTGAGGGAACATCTCCCAGCTGCTGTAGCAACGCTGGTAGCTAAAGGGCCCCGAACACGGCGAGAGAAACACCTGCCGGCCACTTTCCGGCACATTCCGCGGGCCCCGATCACTCGTAATCACCGCCGCCTACCGTGTCGTGAAGGGCTCCACTAACACTGGTTTTGGGGGGGGGGGTAAATTAAGGGTACACAGCAAGAGGCTGCCATGACATCACCTGCCCACTCGCCAATAATGGCAAGAACTGCGAAAAGTCCTCCGTTGTGAAACGAGCGAATATGCAGTGACACGCCGGCCGCCTAAACGCAGCCAAGTGAAGACGTAGGAACCCCCAGAGGACCCTGAACGATGTCTGCTGCAACCCCCCCCCCCCCCCAAGAGAACCTGCCTTCTGTGAGGGTGGCTGACAGCAGCACGTTCTGTCTGGGGGGGCCAGAGGCGTTCAGGGCATTCAGGATCACTGCGAGGTCCTTCTCAAAGCCCAGGTCCAGAGTCCTGTTTGGACACACAGGCGCTGTGATGAGACACTGTGCCAGACAGGACAGGACAGGACAGGACAGGACAGGACAGGACAGGACAGGACAGGACAGGACAGGACAGGACAGGACAGGACAGGACAGGACAGTGTCTGTGGCTATTTAACTCCTAGAATCAAGCATCAAATTGCTGGTCAAGTTGAAACCTGACATCTGCATTTCTCCTTTATTGCAGATCCCAGAGCCTGGGGGGTGGGGGGGGCGCATACCGGTCAGCTTCATCCAGAATGAGCCAGCGCACAGCGCTGAAAGCTATGCTCAGCGTGTTGTTGATGTGGTCGACCAGCCGGCCAGGAGTGGCAATCAGGATATTGATGCCCTTACGCAGCCTGGATGAGATAATTAGGGAAAAACATTCATTCGGTTCTGCAATTAAGACCATTTATAATGTGCACTAAAAGGCTCAAATTTAACAAAACCTGACTTACAAAGCATGTCCATTCAAAACAATGTTCATTTACCTTCATCTTGATACATCTCATTTAATTTAAATCCCAGAAGAGTCCATATTTTATAACCCAAAAAAAAAATTATATTACAAGACTGGTAATAAAATCCTGCAAAATCAGCAGCATTTCAAATGCAAGAAGATATTATGAGTGCTACTATGCATTATTATTGCAATCATCATTATCATCATCATCATCATCATGATCATCATAATCATCAGCCGGCCTCAGATATAGAGATCCTGCAGAGAACAGAGTGCCCAGCACTGGCTGAAGGGGTCTCGTGAAAAGCTCGCTGGGGCTCCGGGTTCTCGGGTAAACCACAGAGCCTGGTTTCACAAACGGTAAAATCACCAAAAATCTGTGTGCAGAACCAAAAGGAGGTAATGAGATGTGGAGACTGACAGCACAGCTGCTCTGCAAACAAGCACTCCCTTCATGCCGCTTGACAGGGACACCCATGTCAGTGTGAGTGGACACCTGCTCACCGGATACCAACAAGGCAGGAGAGGATTCTGGGATTGAATATGCTACCGTACGAAACGCTAAACTGACACCTGACTATTAAAACCTTATGTAAACATTCCGCACTGTAAATTATGTTACATTAGATCGGTCTACAAGAAATCTTTGTATGGTTCCCGGATTTTGGGGGACACCATGATATTAACAGCAATGTGATGCCTGTGATTTTTTTCCTGGAAAGATGGCCAACACCATATGACAACACGGCATCAAAGCAATGCAAGAGCTCTAACCTGGCTTTTTCAGATTTCCTCTTTTCCCCTCCCATGAGGACTCCGGGCACAATCCAGGTGAAGGGCTGACAAACACCCCAGGAAAATGAAGCAGATGCGAGGAGACGTTACATTTCTCAGTATGTTTATGGTGCTGGGCGAGCGCTGATGTCTACAGCCAGATCTCACCTTCAGCAGCTTCTGGATGATCTGGAAGCTCTGCTGTGCCAACTGAGGAGGAACAGCGATAAATAATGTAAAGAGAGGAGACAGATAGTGGCCATGTTGCACGGACAGCGGGGACAGCTGCTGGATTATAGCCCAACGGTGACAGCAAAGCGACCGCTTAGTGATTATGGAAGAATGACGAGAGTGGCTAGCGGAGTACGATTCAACGTGAATCTGGAAGAAGGAGGGGCAAGCAGAGGCGGCCTCGTCGCAAGGGAGACCCCCACGTACCTCTCTGGTGGGGACCACCACGACCGCAAAGGGACCATCCTCCCTCTGCAAGACGGAGGGGAGGGAAGCGTCAGCGTGTACATTTCTGAAAGATTCTCAACTGACGTGCATCGTCAACCGGGCTAAAAGCCACCGTGTCCCCACGTGTTTATTAACTGCAGTATTGAGGGAAACGGGTCGAAAACACTCAGGGGAAGGATAACAGAAATTCAGCACGCGCACACAGTATTTTTCATACATATTTTGCTGCGATTTGTTTTCCGGCATCGTGGCAATCACGCTGACATGAAAGGGCGCTTTGGCGCTCGGGGTAAGGCTCAGCGCCCGCCTTTCAGTGGACCAGACAGCTGTCAGTGTTTTTAGCGGTGCTACGCTGGGGACTGGCTGCTTCAGGAGACGGGAGCAGATCTGTCAGGGCTCCTTATTACAGTCCCACTAATCCAGCCCCACTGGGTATTTACTTTTATTTAGTGGTGCTCTGTCACTATTTAGGGAAGAAAAAAAAAAAAGACAAAGACAGGCTTGAGTGAACAACACCGAGCTTTTAAAGGCATCGCTCCTGTGCTGTGCCACCCAGTCTGGGCATCTACAGGTATTTGATGGTGCCAGTACCGGTGACCAGTACGATAAACCCAGTGCCTCTCTCTTGGAGACAAGGGGGGGGGGGGGGGGTTAAATACAGCCACTTACTCATTGAAGTTACATTTTTTCCCCCAGTCGTGTTAATAATGATACTAGGGACGTATGAACCATTTCATTTGACTTCATTCACCCCCTCCCCCCCCCATAAAAAAACAGATTTTAACATTTAAATTTAAGCTGTGTCCCCCAATAACAAACTCTCTCCTTTGCCACTGAACCATACTCCCCCAGCCGTGAATAAAATGAAGTGCTGGATATCAGTTTGGAAGAGGAGGGGGATATTTAGATTTTTATACCAAATTTATAAGTACTGATTCGCGACACAGTTGTTCACTAAAAAAGTTTTTGTTCCAGAGAGTACCCTCAAAGGGGACTTCTGTCACAGTCCAACAGTCTCGTACCCTCAAAGGGGACTTCTGTCACAGTCCAACAGTCTCGTATGCTGCTCTTTTGGCTCCCTGTGACGCGAATAATGCTTATTTCCATTTGTGCATCCCGGCAGGTGGACGAGCGCCAGCGTTTGGCGGGTTTAACGCAATTCCCAGGAAGCGAGGGGTTTCCCACAAACTGATAATTAGGTAGCAGAAGACAGCCTGTTTTCAAAGCCCCGCTGCTATCACTTTACCCTCTGATTTAAATTCCCTCTAATTAGCAACAAAAGTGCTGTGTCTATGAAATGATTTAAAAAGTCACTGAGACACTGAAAAACTACGGTCGTTCCTGTCTTAGGGTGATGATGTCACTCATCATCGCCTGACGCATTCGCTCGCTGTTACAAATCAACAATTTGTTAATTGTCATTAGTCTATGACAAACACGTTCACGACTGAAGCTGACCAGACACCACAAAGACCCACTACTGAGGAAGACCTACTATTGAGCACAGACAACGTAGCCTTACGAAACACACCTGCCAAACTAAAGCCATACACCAAAAATAAAAAATAGAATCACTACACCACTGTGTCCTAAACCAGTCCTCAGGGCACGCTGGGCACTGGGCATATCCACATTTTGGTTTCATCCCAGTTCCCAGCACACCTGTAAGCTATTTAGAGCTCCCAATTGCCTGGGTCAGGTGTTCTGGGAACTGGGATAAAACAAAAATCTGGATCTGTCCGGCGTGGCGCGTGGACGGGTCTGGGAAGCACTGCAACAGCCATAACATTTGTGTTTGGGATAATAACATTTACAGCTTCACTCTGAACCAAGCTCACATTTTGAGCATAAATAGCAGGACAACAACAAAAGACGTAAAAAAGCAGAACACATCTATTGACTTTCTTTTATAATTCAGTTAAAACTGGAAGCAAAATGTCTGTTTATGGTATTAGGCAGAATTATTTTTTGAGTTTAATCCCCATCTACCCGGAGTGACTGGCTTACCTTGATTTTCGGTTGGACTGCCTGCAGAGACTGAACCAGCGGAATCCCGTAAGCCAAGGTCTTACCTGCGTTCGGCACGCAGAAGAAGAGAACTGTTAACTCCTACCGTGGTTCCTCTCTAAATTACATGCAGATTAGATGGCAAATGCAAAAGTGAGGCGTCCAAAGAAAAAGACAGAGCAAGACCCCTCACCTGACCCCGTCTGGGAGCGGACCACCGCATCCTGGCCTGCCAACAACACGGGGATCGTCTGCTTCTGAACACTGCGAACCATCATGGACGAGGGTCAACACAGAACCAGGAAGCAGTTTCATCTTCCAACTACAGCATTCTATGAGCCATCTAAGCACGGTGTTCTGGCCAAATTCCCATTTAATGCGTTCATGTGATAAAAGCACATCTGATAGACCTAATAACTAAACAAAAATAAAATATTATGGCACTTTTCCACTACACCAAATAACATACTTTGGTACTTTTGCTTTTCCATTGACTTCCAGTCGAATACCAGTACTAAAAGTTCCAGTACCTAAAGTACCAAACCAGCTGGGATTAAGGTTGCAAAATTCTGGAAATTTTCCTGTTAATTCCCATATATTCCCATGGAAAGTTTCCAATTTGTAGTATTTCCAAAATTCCCCAGCTTATCTTCCCATGGAATGGAAATATTCTGCAAAGTTTCTGGAAATTTTCCATCCCTTTGCAACCCTAGCTGGGATATTTTCCCGGTACTTTGGGGGGTGTGGCTCAAATTGTGATCTGATCAGAAGAACAGATACAACGAGATCAGGACAGCATGACGAGAAAAAAATATTTAGTATAATATACTAGGGCAGCATGGTACTGGAAAATATCACGGTGTAATTTTGTTTGTAATAAAGATTGGAAGGATGCAAGGATGAAAATGATTATGATCGTCTTGAAGAACACATGCAGCACTCATGCAAAAGCAACAGAGTTAACTTTAAACATATGCTAGATAATATTGAAAAGGAATAATCATCCATCCATCCATCCATTTTCCAACCCACTTATCCTACTGGGTTGCGGGGGGGCTGGAGCCTATCCCGGAAGCAATGGGCACGAGGCAGGGAACAACCCAGGATGGGGGGCCAGCCCATCGCAGGGCACACTCACACACCAGTCACTCACACACCAGTCACCTTAATTTAGCTGACTAGTGGTGTAAGAATTGCAACATTGCATAGCACGCAATGTTGGTATTAATATTGCATGTTGCCCAATCCTATAATATAATATAATATACCCATTTTTCAAATTCAGTACAAGATACCCCACCTAACGTTGTGATGTCATTCAGTGCCAGTACCAGTTTTTACGCCAGTGAAAAACCAACACCTAGAAGAACCGTACTCTTGGTTCAGTACCTGGTGTGGTGGAAAAGTGCCCTTACAGTCTAGTGCTTAGAGGGCAAGTAGGTCCAAGAATGACAGAAACATACCTTGTCATGCTTGTCACCTTCAAGACATTATTCAGAGTTGATACCTTAGAAAGAGAAAAGACAGCCAGGATAAAGTCAAACAGAGGCAGGACATCAGCAATGAGCACCCACTGAGGTGTGAACTATAACCCTCACCAAGTGTGGATGGAGATCAAGATCAACAAAGGAGCAACTGGTGAAGACCTTCTCCCTTAGCTGTGTCACTGTAGGCCTGGGGGAAAAGAACAGTAGACCTTTTCAGACAGAAATGATCATTAAATCAGCAGAAGGCCGGCAGACTGTCCCAGTCACTGCCTGATACTGGGACTGACACACAGTAGCCCACCTCTGCATCTCTGGGATCTCTGGGTTGTTTTTGAACAAGGATGAGGTCTTGATGAGCTCTCTGTCTTCTTTCTGTTGGCCATCTGGGTGACTCTTCTGACTGACCTTAGGGGGTTTTGGCAATTTCGGGCTACATTTTTCAACCCCCCCTTGGTTCTGCGGCAGACTCTTGAAGTTCCTTTTTTTTGGGGGCGTCTGACCCTGATGTGGTGGCTGCTGGTCAGTGTGGGCAGGTTTCTTTTCGGGAGTGATGCACGTCTTTTTGAAGGGGGGGCTTTTTTGTGTCCCCTGCAGAGCTTTCCGCTTCTCTGCTTTTCTCATTTTCTGCCATGGAACAAAATTAATTGTTATAAGTAAGAGTCCACGGAAGGATAGACCACCAAATGGATCACTACGTATGACCTAATCCACTCTGACGTTCATGGAAATTACCCAGATGGCTGCCAGCAGTAACAAAGATTTCTGGATCGGTATGACAGACTCTCCCCAAAACAAAGCGCTCAAGCCTGTCAGTTTTGAAGACCCAGCCTACCAGAAGCTCTCCGTATGTCCATCAATAATAAACACAAAATAATTAATTCCCATTCTATTACTCTTTTAAACATGACAGTCAAACTATTTTCTGAACAAAAAAAAATCACTTAAGAATTATGTTATCATGTAACCTCTGGTCCCTACCACAAAACTGCTTTCAGAACCACAGCACAAACAAATAAGGTTATATAAAAACCTTTTGGTTGAGAAATATATACATAAAGGGATAAATGAACAGTGAAGTATTAAATGAACTAAACTCTTAGTTCCGAGTGTGGTGATGCTGTGACGAGTGGTTTTTGGGCCAGCAAGTATTAAACGGGATGTAATAGTCCGAAAGCCAACAACAGGGCAGACAAGGCAGGCAAGGGCCTGCAGCCCCGAGCTGGAAGGGGGCCCTGAGGGCGGCCGATTACATAGTACATGGCAGCAACAAATCTGCTTTATTTGCATATTCTGTTTTTCACAGTAAAGTGAAAATAAAGGTCTGGTGTTTGTTAAATTCTCTTTGTTGATATTAATTTACACAACACAGTAAAATAAAGTAATACATTTTACCATGCTGGGGGAGGGGGGTTGGAGGGCCCCTTGCAGTGCATGCCCCCAGAGTCCCTACAATCGCCTCTGATAATAGTACAAATGCTGACAATGCACATTAAGCCACTTCGTACCCATTTGTCCGAGGTCCTGAACGGTGTGTGCCGCTTCTTGTGCTTGTGGACAGCTGGGGTTAAAGTCATATTCAGCATCAGTGTGTCTTCAGCCATGGTGAACGTTCACAAGTCCTCTGCAAAAGGCCAGTGCAGAGCCACAAACAGTGTTACGATCCGGAGTGATACGGTATTCGTGTCTATAGTTTTGACTGAGTATAGACAGCCAATCAGTTTTAAAAGCAGTGTAATTAATTTATAATCTCGGTTCTAGACATTCAGGCAAACTAGAAAAACGTCAGATTTAAACAGCTAAAGTTGTTGCGGCACTTGCATTTCATACGCAATGCAAACAGAATGATAATGTTAGCAATGGGACTGGATAAGAAGAATCGAAGCAGTTTCAAGTAGTTTATCTGGGCATGGCAGCGGGCTGGTAATGCGCTGGTGAACGCAAAAACACGACTTTAGCTTCAATAGCTTAATTCCCACCTACCTTGGATTAAAGCAGAAGGTCTGGGTGTCACTGCACACGTGTGCGACTAAGCAACACCGGATTCAGGCGTCAATCCTTCACAGGTCTCTGCGTTAACCACTGTAGTAATTAACTACACTCATACGCCCCACGGTTTTTTAAAATGATACTTTTCTACCTACTTTATGTACATTTAGGTCAAGGATAGCGACCAACTCGTAGCGAACACGCGTAACTGGTGATACACATGGCTGATGGCTGCTGTTTATCTAAACATGCGGTGGCGTAAAACCATTAGTAAGCGGCGGAAAAAGATCCGCGGCCGCTCGGCGTCCCTGAGTCCGCAGCTCGCTGCAAATCGCCCGTCACTTAACGCCGGTATATGGACCCCGGCTGGCTGCTGTGATCCGGGGAAGCCTGCACGGATCACGGGGATGCCTGCCTGCGCGGACCGACGGCGCACGGATCACGGGGATCCCTGCCGGCGCCCTTTCCCCGGCGTCCGTTGCGTAGACCCGCCCCGAATCACGTAACTTCCTGCTCGCATTTTCCCAGGGAAATGGCGGCCCTAAGCCCTGATCGTGCTCCAGATGGAGAGACCGAACCCGACACCGAATCCGAACCCGAACCCGACACGGACCCCTGGGTCGGGCTGGGCCCCATCGTTAAGCGGGAGCCCGCGGTGAAGCTCCCGAGTCCGGTGAGCGGCCTGGAGCCGCTATCGTGGTCCGAAGACCATCGCCTGTCGGCCTCCAGTACCAGCAGCATTTCTCTCATGGAGATCCTGTGCGATGTCCACGGCTGCAACCAGGATCTGGTCATGCAGCGGACCTCCATCCCCTTTCCGGACAGTATTTGTGAACTCAAGGTAAATCCTGGCTGACAATGCGGCCGCATGTCGCTTTGCTATTCCATCGCTTCATTGTTATTATTTTGTGGCTGATCTTATTGTGGTTATGTAGCGATAATTGAGTATCTTTTACAGGGTTGGTGTAACCTTACACGCCGCTAACTGGCTATAATCTGGCCGGGGAATGAGGTGTTTTAATCTCCGTTTTAGGATGAATGTCCGATTTATTGCGGCAGTGTTTACAAACCTGCTGCTGGATCCGCCTGTTCCGCTCTGGTACATAACCCACGGACCGTAACCAAAATGATCTAAAATGTTCTTTTTGATAAATATTTATTTATAAACGTGGTCTTGAAAAGTAATCTGATAAAAGGTCATTTTTATTGTTATATTTGCATCAATGTATCATCAACCAGTAGCATTGTTGGTTAGCTTGTTACAAATTTTTCGTGAATTTTATTTTTATTGTTTTTGTGAATATTTTTGCATTTTATCTTCAGGTGGGCCTGGAGGAAGGAGAATCTGAAGGCGGGGGAGGCAAGGAAACACCAGATTCACCAGAGAGCCAGTGTTTGTCGGATAGTGTGAAGACCCCAGGTGCAGCAAGTGTTCCACCCCAGACTGGCTTCAAGTACACCAGCTGGTCCCCCTTGGGCTGTGACACCAACGGGCGCTGTCTGCTGGCCTCCCTCACGCTGGACAACCGGCTCACCGTCTACGGCAACCTGAACCGGCTGCAGTGGACGGCTCTGGTGGACCTGACCGAGCTCTACGGTGAGATGCTGGAGGAGAAGGGCTACTCGCTGCCGGGGGCCGAGCCCCCCCTGGGCCCGCTGGAGGACTTGCCCGAGCGTCAGCGGCGCCGTCGCATGCAGAGTCCCGTGCGCATGGAGTGGTCCAGCGTGTGCACCACGCAGCAAGTGCAGATGAACAACGAGTGCAAGGACGTAGGAACGGTGCTACTGGCCGTGCTCATGGAAAATGGGGACCTGGCCATCTGGCAGTTCAAACTACCCTTTGAGGACAAAGATTCGGTGCTTTCCTGCAACACTATCCAGTCGGGGGTGTCTGCACCCAGCGTGCTGGCTTGGTGGGAGTATGAGCACAGCGGACGGAAGATGAGCGGACTGATCGTGGGCAGCTCGGTGGGGCCCGTCAGGATCCTTCCGGTAAACCTGAAGGCCGTGAAGGGCTATTTCACGCTGCGGCAGCCTGTGGTACTGTGGCAGGAGACTGACCAGATTCCGGTGCACAACATCAAGTGCATCTCGCTCTTTCACCCCTACCAGAAGTGCAACTGCAGCCTGGTGGTGGCGGCTCGCGGTTCCCACCTTTTCTGGTGCCTCCTGCTGATCTCCAAGGCCGGCCTGAACGTGCACAACTCTCACGTGACCGGCCTGCACACCACACCCATCATGTCGATGACTGCCAGTCGCTACGGAGGCTCGATTTTCACGTGTTCGGCCGACGGCGTAGTGAAGAAGCTCACGCCCATATTCACTGACATGGCGGTCATGTTCAAGCAGGAGGAAATCAACATGCCCGAGGGCGTGATTGGCAGCAGGTTACATGGGATCGGCGTCAGTCCCAACGGTGCCTATCTGGCACTGGTCACCACAGAAGGTGTGACCAACGGCCAGGTCCCGGTCAGCCGGGCGTTCCAGGTCCAGTTTATCACGTTGAAGACCCCAGACGACGCGGCAGCAGAGCTTCTGGAGTCCATGGTGCAGAACCTTTTCAAGCAGACGGACCTGCTGGATCTAGTGCGCTGGAAGGTTCTGCGGGACAGGCGCATTCCGCCCATGCTGCAGGAGGAGCTGGACGACAAAGTTCACGCCACAGGCTCCACCTACCTGTGGCGCTTCAAGCTCTTCCTGTTCCGCGTGCTCTACCAGTCCCTGCAGAAGATGTCGGCAGAATCGCACTGGCTTCCTTCGCATGAGGACACCAAAGTGTTCATTGTGGACGAAGAGGGCGAGGACAATAGCGAGGATTCCCCTGCTGGAGCCTCTGCCTCGGGGGGGGTGGGATTAAAGGGACCTGGGGGAGGGGCCTCAGACGAACAGATGAGTGAGGTCATTGCCTGGATCGAGGCGGTGGAATCTCACCTGACGCGTGAGCATATGAAGAGGGTGCTGGGGGAGGTGTATCTCCACACCTGGATCACCGAGAACACCAGCATCCCCACCCGCGGCGTGTGTGACTTCCTCATGAGTGACCCGACCTATGAAGACAGGGCTGCCAGGGTAAGCAAGGACTGCAAAGACAAAAACACTTAGGCTACGTTCACATTGCCATGCTGAAGTGACTCAAATCGGATTTTTTGCCTTAATGTGACACAGATCTGATCTTTTCAGGGCTGTGTGGACACAAATCATTTGTGCCACTTTCATATGTGGTACTAAATCGGATACGTATCCGATTCGCAGCCATGCGACCTGAATGTGACGCTCAGATCGGAATTCATGTGGCTTTTTGCTTATACGCATGCGCTGACATCAGCCTGCACCGGCAGTGCAGGAAGGTAGAAATGGAGGAGAGCTGCGATAAGTCAGTGGAAGGGTGGAGAAGGTGGGGATTTAATTGATATTTGGGGAAATGAATCTGTTCAAGTGAAACTGGAAGGAACCAGACGTAATAGAGTAATATTTGAAATAATTGCCAAAGAAATGGCACAGCGCGGACACGAACGTGGCTACAATGCCAAAGAAAAATAAAGAGCCTGAAGTCAAAGTTTAAAGAGGCAAAAGACTCGAATCAGCGCAGCGGTCATGGCCGGACAACGTGCCAATTTTACGACCAGCTTTTTACCCGTGTAAAAACGTATCAATGTGCGCATGCGTGACGTTTCGGAGGACCGATGCGTTCACATTACAGTCAGATACAGGTCACTTCTAGTTATGAATGTGAACCATCAAGATAGACAAATCCGATATGAGCAAAAAAATCGGAATTGAACAATGTGGCTGGCAGTGTGAACGTAGCCTTATTCTCCAATTCAAATGTGGTTCTCAGTAGTAATACTGAAATGCAAACTGCGGTTAATGACATGAATTATTGCCAGAATAAGGGAGACACTCAGGTAAATTAGAAAAACAGTGTATATGAAAACCATTAAGAATTAACAACGGCAGACATGCCACCGTACCCAGGGTCATTTTTAAAGATGCGGGGCAGCCATAGAAAAATCATCTTAGAAAGAGAAAGAGCTGCTAATGATTTTAATTTCATTTATGATTTTGGCTTCCAATGATTATCAAAGCAAAATAATTCAGATAAAACAATTGTGGTGCTACATTTCATTTCACTGTGATGCTGCTGTTCTTGTTACAAATCCTGTGCACCCCTTTCAAACGACTTTTTTTTTGTTGCTCAGTTGAATAATGTTTAGGGTTTAGAAGTCCACTGTTAAAATGGCAAGTTTTTTCAAAAGTTCAGTCAGTGCATGATATTTCCAAAGTCAATGAGTAATCAGTGTTAAATAATCATAATCGCAATATTGACCAAAATAATCATGATTGTGATTTTTGCCATAATCGAGCAGCCCTGCCGGTGGCTGAAATTATGATAGCATAGAAGTCTGATGGGAAAGACTGCATCAACCAGCAACAACTGTAGGTAAATTCACATACTCACTGTGAAGCTGCTTCAAAATGCAAGAACAGACTCAGCAGCTCACCCAGCTGACTGCAAATGTCAGTTTAGTTTAATGAATTGATTATTTTGTGAAAGATGTGGTAGTGCAGAAAGATCTTGCTATACACAAAACTGACTCATCATTCGCCCTGTTCTCAACAAGCAGATGAGTCTGTTTGCAGTGTGCACCAGAAAAGGCCTGCAGACTTGAGTCTCTCCCTGGGGTTTCCGTCAGTGGTGTAGCGTACATTTTGCTAGTGTAGATGAGCTTTGCGTAAGCTCTTAGTGGGCAAGTTAAACACCAGTAAACACTAAGTCATCCTGGGTGATCTGTGTTGAAGCATTTCTGTCTCGATCGGCAAAGAATCTTCCAAAATGGCAAAACCCTCACACTCAAGGAGTTTATGCCATCATGAGGGGCTCAGCGTGAGGTGGGGGGCCGGGTGTTTGAGGATAACGGTGGACAGTAGGGGGAGATCGGAAAAAATGAAGTGGGGCTATTGTACTCAGTCTAAATGTGGTCCCAAATGAGGCAGCTAAGGTTACAGACAAGTTCCTAGGAATTAGCAACTATTCCTCTTGCCCAGTTTTGATATCTGCTTGTCTTAGACCAAGTGTTTCTCTTGATGAAGTACGGAATGATCTGATATTGATTGAGTTTTTTTTCCCCATTCGGTAACCATGGCATCATCCCCGAAAAAGCGAAGGCTCTTCTGAAGCTGATATTGACCTCCTTTGGATTTCCTCTTCCCAGGTCCTCATTGGGCACATCTTTAAGAAGATGAACAAGCAGACCTTCCCAGAGTACTGCAGCCTTTGCAAAGAAGTGCTGCCCTTTACTGACCGGAGGCA